GGAGCAAAAACCTAACATTAAATTCTTTTTAAAACTCAGATTGACAAGCATCATACTGTCAGGTTCATTTCTTGAAGAAACTGTACAATGTTAAATAGAAGTTGACTTTAGCAGACTTTTCGGTTGGTCGAAGTGACCCACATAGCCTGTTTATTATTGACCTAATTTGGAATTACCCAGTAACCTAATATGAACTCTATAGTCCTTTCCAGAAGTGCTGCCGAAATATGTAACCCTGTTCAGTGTCAGTTGTTGAAGTTTGGCACGCAACCTTTTAATAATCATGTGCTTGTGAGTCATTATGTTTTAGATGTAAACAAACATATAGTTTCCGTGTTGCGTTTTTTGGGGTATATGGTTGGGGGTTAGGGAGCGGGAACCGATTCAAATCAAACAATCAGCGTGAATACAATCACTTGGGTAAACCGAGTCAGGGAAACTGTTCAAAACATCATTTCATTCTCTGGTGGTCATCTCCAACATCAGTCTTCCGTGAGTTTGGGGTTTTTTCATTGAGTGGGGGATAGGCTATTGAAAAAATTACCACATATTGCTGCACGTATGAACTGAAAAACAATCTATAGGCGTGTGTCAGTTACTGTATAATATTTTTTTTATAGGTTAGTTAGTCTTTTCTCTTAGGCCCTGGGTGACGCATAAGGCAGAGGTCTTTTCTCTGGCGATTTGTTGCCACCTGCTTTAAGTCTTGGATGTGTGTTAGGCTCATGGTTGAGTCCTGCCTGATGGTAGTTCTACTACACAGGGTCTCTCTTGGTTTTCCACGTTTCCTTTTGCCTTCTGGTGAGGGCTCGATAGGGAAGTCTTTTTCATTCTGATTGGAAGACCGATGTAGTTCCAGCGGTGCTTTCTTTTAAATGTACTAGAAGCACAGCCTAAAGGGGATCTTGTATTAGAGAAAAATGAGTATGTAACTATGAACGATAATATAAAAATCTACTCCTCGAACCTAACTCTACTCCAAACCTACAAGAGCTCCAACAAATAATGTACTGGTGGGTGTGAGCCAACCCACACTCAAGCTGCATCAGTAACAAGAAAAAAAAAAAAGAAGAGAACGTTCGTTAAGCGGGGAGCTAAGACCAACGTGTCTTAATCCAGACAGAAGATCTTCTGTATGAAGTCTAATCTGTAGTAAGAGTAAAACTAGGTACACTAACCACAAGTCCTTAGCCAAATCAAAATAATTGGAACTACAATAATCAAATCAATATCTGTTTATTTTGCTTAACACAAAATTAACACCACACTAACAACCGACATCGTGTTCACACACACATAGCTTAGTATTTAATTTAGCAAAGATAAAAATTCGTTTCTAGCGACATAAAATCAAATTTCCCCGAGCGATGATACACACTGATATCTATATATTTACCCCAGTTGAACCACCGAAAGAAATTTAAACCTAACTATGAAAACGTTCCAGCGCTGTAATAAGTCGGACAAAAACGGACTCTTCCCACGCAGTCGCCCGAACCTGATTTTTCTAAACAACTAAATTATAAACAGCTGTTGGCATCTTGCAACACACACACACACAAAATTAATGCATTGTCTTGCTTGGTCTCTTGTCTTATTTGCATTGTGGATCTGAAATCTTTTCAGTGCAGATTTAGTCTGGTAGTCTATTTCTAGAGCATTTATCTCAAAATTGTATATTTTTAAAATCTAGAGCTACCGTTGCTTTTCAACTCTCGCATCCATAAGTTAACACTGGAATCACAAAGGTTTGAAGGTCTTAAGTTTTGTGTGGTTACTGAGTGTCTTTAACTTCCAAATGTTTGACAGTTTGTTCAAGGCACTAGATGCCAGTGCGATTGTAGATGAGATTTCTGACGCTGAGTTCCCTATAGATGTCATCTTACTTCCTGGGTATGTAAAGCTGTTGACTATTTCAAAAATGTGATTGTGTAGTTTGCTGTCGTCTCAACTATTGGGAAGATCAATGATTTTTTTTTTCGGTGTTAAATTAGATTCCGATTTGTCTGGAAACATTTTGGAGATGATTTGTTTTCTCTCGGATTTCTGAGTTTGTTGAACAGCAAAGTCAAGATCTGTGAGAATTCTGTCAACCCATTTGATACTTATATTTGTGTGTGTTTTGTGTGTGTGTGTGTGAGGGGGGGAGTGGCATTTGGGCATGACCCAATCGACTGCATCGGCGAAAGGACACAACCTTGTTTCATTCCTATTTCCACTGGGAACCAGTCAGATTTGCCAGATTATGTTCTGACACTGCAGCATGTTTCAATGTAGAATGCTGATATATTTGTTGAGGAAACCAAAGATCTTAAGTAGTTTCCATATTCTATGAAGGTGGATACGGTCGAAAGCTTTTTGAGTCGACTCAGGTAATTGACACGGAAAGTCTACGGATTCTGTAAGGATTGACGGTGAAAGCGTGGTCTACGCATGATCATTCTGGTCTGAAGCCTGCTTGATATTCTCTTAACCTTTCATCTATAGACTTTTTTCAGTCTCTCGAGTAATAAGCTACAAACAAGTTTTCCTGGCACAAAACATCAAATTGCACGTGGTACATGGGTACAGAAATGATTAGTCAACCAAAGATTAAAGAAATTCGCCGCTTTAAGAAAATAGCAGCATCGGCGCAATTTTAAATTATAGCATCATGGGAAATCTAAGGCTACATGCAAAAAATTTTTAAATGGTGATGGTCAGGGGCCAAATGTCCCAGCATAGAAAGATCATAAATACAATACCAGTGGCAATGATCGGCAGGCCACCGGCTAGGTCTCCGTGGGCCAGACTTGGCGAGTCTGTCCGTCAGAGTCTAGACAGAGCATAATGGATATAACCCGCACCCCTCCCCCCCCCGGCCTCTCGTACAAGCCGACCCTGTCACTCCCACTTGGCTAGTCTGTCCGTCAGAGTCTAGACAGAACATAATGGATATAACCCGCACCGTAGAAACCGACCCTGTCACTCACCTATAAATACAAAAACTGGCACAGGAGAGGGCACTGTCATGTGTTTACGAGATCTGGGGCCCTATTAAAGGAAAAACAAGAACAGACCCACTGCCTACCCAGAAGCATGACGTAAGTGTAGACTAAATGGGAGCTTTGTTCGAAATCCCGAGCTTGGGAGGCAAGGAACCAACAGTCTGCATACAAATGAGTCAGATTTGTTAAACGGATATGCACTCAACAGTCTATTTCTGGAACCGGACTGCATTCCAGAAGTGGACGAACACCCAGAACTTTCCGCCAGAGTTTACAGCTGGTGAGCGCGAAGAAGAAGAAGACAAAATATTTAGGTATTTAATAGTTTACTGGGACAGCCAAATCTTCGGCCTGTTTTTTTTTTTTTTTTTTTCTATTTCGAATGCAATGGTTTTTTTTTTACTTATTAATGCTTGAATGCGCACAATGTATTAGAAGCGCTGCTGGTTTCTCACCCTTGTCTGGAAGACTAGCTGTCTGTTTACTACTCTAGCAGGCCACATCTCCTTCGTTTTAGAGATAACGATCGAAATAGTCAACAGCGCGAGATAAACCAGGTCTACTCTGGCGAGAGGTGGACGCCCAAATTGTTAATCTACCCCTGCCGTTTCCTAAAATATGTGATTATTTTAAAACTAAAGAAGCATGTGCTAAGATGCTATCTATAATCTACGTCTGCATATCTGGTGTCTTCACTTATTTATTTCTGATTTTATATCACTGAAAAAGCGACAACCTACTTTAGAGGCTTAAAAAATATGCAGCATTGAAATCAACTTGCTCATATAAAACTGTGTTCAGTGATGCGTGTCTGGCACAGGAGATGGTAGGCTCTACCGCACGTGATATGTATTAGAAATGTGAAATAATCTGTTACCTGAGATTACAGGATGAATTCTGTGAGAAATGTTTCGGCTTTCATCATACTTTAGTACCCACTGTTAAACATTTGCCACTGCAGGAACTTGTCCTTTTAAAGACACTTATATTATCCACATTCGCATAACTACATTTAGGTGCGTGCAATATGTCCAGTTGCACAGCGCGTTAACATTTTGGAGGCGACAACATTTTAAGTCCGGGGATAAAACTAGTTGTTAAAAAAAAATTATATAATGAAATGCCTATTAGATGATCTTTCTATCATTACAGTAGTCCAGTACAATAATTGCATCTGTTTACTGTGAGGTGGCTGCACTTTGGCCCACTGTAAGAGATCAAATGAATTTCGGAAACCAGTGCCGTACCAAGTTCTTATTCGTTCAAAGTTAGTTTGGCATTTTATCAATTTCACATTGTTCTTAACTCGAAAGTCATTTTTTTTTTTTCTGTTAAGAGAAACGTTTAATAATAATATTATTACTACTTCTATTTTTATTATTCGAAGTAGAGATGTGCACCGACCCCACTGCCCTTGGTCTCCACAACCTATGGACTTGTTTACTACCAATGGTGGTGAATCGGCATGACACAGCAGGACAACAATGTCCTCAGCGACCAACAGGACAACAGTGTCCTCAGCGACCAACAGGACAACAGTGTCCTCAGAGACCAGCAAGACAACAGTGTCCTCAGAGACCGGCAGAACAACAATGTCATCAGCGACCAACACGAAACAGCAGGACAACAATGTCCTCAGCGACCAACACGACACAGCAGGACAACAATGTCCTCAGCGACCAACACGACACAGCAGGACAACAATGTCCTCAGCGACCAACACGACACAGCAGGACAACAATGTCCTCAGCGACCAGCAGGACAACAGTGTCCTCAGAGACCAGCAGGACAACAGTGTCCTCAGAGACCAGCAAGACAACAATGTCCTCAGAGACCAGCAGGACAACAATGTCCTCAAAGACCAACAGGACAAAAATGTCATCAGAGACCAACAGGACAACAATGTCCTCAGCGACCAACACGACACATCAGGACAACAATGTCCTCAGCGACCAACACGACACAGCAGGACAACAATGCTCTCAGAGACCAACAGAACAACCATGTCTTCAGAGACCAACAGGACAACAATGTCCTCAGAGACCAACAGGACAACAATGTCCTCAGAGACCAGCAGGACAACAGTGTCCTCAGAGACCAGCAAGACAACAGTGTCCTCAGAGACCAGCAAGACAACAATGTCCTCAGAGACCAGCAGGACAACAATGTCCTCAGAGACCAAAAGGACAACAATGTCATCAGAGACCAACAGGACAACAATGTCCTCAGCGACCAACACGACACAGCAGGACAACATTGTCCTCAGCGACCAACACGACACAGCAGGACAACAATGTTCTCAGAGACCAACAGGACAACAATGTCCTCAGAGACCAACAGGACAACAATGTCCTCAGAGACCAACAGGGCAACGATGTGCTCAGAAAACAGCAGGACAACAATGTCCTCAGAGACCAACAGAACAACAATGTTCTCAGAGACCAGCAGGACAACAATGTCCTCAGAGACCAACAGGACAACAATGTCCCCAGAGACCAGCAGGACAACAATGTCCTCAGAGACCAGCAGGACAACAATGTTCTCAGAGACCAGCAGGACAACAATATGCTCAGAGACCAGCAGCACAACAATGTGCTCAGAGACCAACAGGACAACAATGTGCTCAGAGACCAACAGGACAACAATGTTCTCAGAGACCAACAGGACAACAATGTTCTCAGAGACCAACAGGACAACAATGTTCTCAGAGACCAACAGGACAACAATGTTCTCAGAGACCAACAGGACAACAATGTGCTCAGAGACCAACAGAACAACAATGTGCTCAGAGACCAACAGAACAACAATGTGCTCAGAGACCAACAGAACAACAATGTGCTCAGAGACCAACAGGACAACAATGTTCTCAGAGACCAACAGGACAACAATGTGCTCAGAGACCAACAGGACAACAATGTTCTCAGAGACCAACAGGACAACAATGTTCTCAGAGACCAGCAGGACAACAATGTGCTCAGAGACCAACAGGACAACAATGTTCTCAGAGACCAACAGGACAACAATGTTCTCAGAGACCAACAGGACAACAATGTTCTCAGAGACCAACAGGACAACAATGTTCTCAGAGACCAACAGGACAACAATGTTCTCAGAGACCAACAGGACAACAATGTTCTCAGAGACCAACAGGACAACAATGTGCTCAGAGACCAACAGAACAACAATGTGCTCAGAGACCAACAGAACAACAATGTGCTCAGAGACCAACAGAACAACAATGTGCTCAGAGACCAACAGGACAACAATGTTCTCAGAGACCAACAGGACAACAATGTGCTCAGAGACCAACAGGACAACAATGTTCTCAGAGACCAACAGGACAACAATGTTCTCAGAGACCAGCAGGACAACAATGTGCTCAGAGACCAACAGGACAACAATGTTCTCTGAGACCAACAGGACAACAATGTGCTCAGAGACCAGCAGGACAACAATGTCCTCAGAGACCAGCAGGACAACAATGTCCTCAGAGACCAGCAGGACAACAATGTCCTCAGAGACCAGCAGGACAACAATGTCCTCAGAGACCAACAGGACAACAATGTCATCAGAGACCAGCAGGACAACAATGTGCTCAGAGACCAGCAGGACAACAATGTCCTCAGAGACCAGCAGGACAACAATGTTCTCAGAGACCAACAGGACAACAATGTCCTCAGAGACCAGCAGGACAACAATGTGCTCAGAGACCAACAGGACAACAATGTTCTCAGAGACCAGCAGGACAACAATGTCCTCATAGACCAGCAGGACAACAATGTGCTCAGAGACCAGCAGGACAACAATGTCCTCAGAGACCAACAGAACAACAATGTTCTCAGAGACCAACAGGACAACAATTTTCTCAGAGACCAGCAGGACAACAATGTCCTCAGAGACCAACAGGACAACAATGTTCTCAGAGACCAACAGGACAACAATTTTCTCAGAGACCAGCAGGACAACAATGTCCTCAGAGACCAACAGGACAGGCAAACACAGATCACAATCTTCTCTACAGCCTTTAGTTCCCAGGCAAGGTTATTTTGTTGATGTAACAGTTCATCCATTCACCCAGTCTGCCTGTCTCCAGTCTCTAAGACAACGTCTAGGAATGTTCACATGTAATTTCTAGCACACACTCCGACTAAACGTTACTCAGTGCCACAAGCAAACTTATGAGAATAAACTGGTTTACTCCAATCTTGCAATCGATTTTATCCTCCACAAACAATAGCCACACATCTGCTCTGTCGCATCAATCTGGCTTCTGTCACATAGATGTGCGTCGCTTCATCCGCTCCGGTACAATCTTGGAGGAGATACGAAGCGTACACAGCAAAAATATTCGCCGTCGAGGTAAGCGCAAGAGGACTTATCTCCACTTCCACATACAATGTGCGAAGGCAACTGGGCTCGCGAGGAAAAGAGCGTAAACGGTGACTAAAACAACTGAGCGAAGCAGCTGAAAGGGCTTCGAGCTGGCTATGGACAAAACGGAACGTCGTGGGGGTGGGCCTCGGTTGACTGGTCTGAGCAACTAGTGGAAAATAGTTTTTCATCCATAATAGCCAAAGTGCCCGATAAATGTCTGCCAGTGTCTCTCTGCCTATTGCCAAAGTCTAACGTCTGTCCGGTGAACCAACAGTAAGCTTGTCTGTGGTCGTGAAAGTAGGCAGCCAAGTTGCTACCTCAGCGACAAATATAACACCAAATCTCACAATACCTGTTGCAAAGTCCCCATATCGTCTTGTCCCTGTCCGAGAGTCCGATAAAGCGTAGCAGGGGAAGTTCGAGGCCTGGATTTATAACCCAGGTAAGCCCATCGTCCGAGAAACACAGTAAATTTGTAAATACATTAAATACATCAATTTTAGAGGTAACATTATTTGTATCTGGCTGCCTATATTGCATGGTTTGATAACCTGGACAAGAATCTACTGAATGCTTGTCACCAGCAACTGATGTAGACCTTATACTTCTACTGAATGCTTGTCACCAACAACTGATGTAGACCTTATACTTCTACTGAATGCTTGTCACCAGCAACTGATGTAGACCTTATACTTCTACTGAATGCTTGTCACCAGCAACTGATGTAGACCTTATACTTCTACTGAATGCTTGTCACCAGCAACTGATGTAGACCTTATACTTCTTATGGAGAAGTTAGCGAGCGAAATAAAATACATAAAATTGTTCAGTCGTAGCAGATTCAACGCCATGTATGTCCAGTAAGGACCAGCTCAGTGTAATCATTATATTATACATATATGTATGTGTGTGTGTGTGTGTATGTGCGTGGGTGCGTGCGTTGGTGGGTGGGTGTGTGTAAAGAAGGGTTCTCTGGTAAAACTGATTTGATTTATAACAAAAACAAAAACAAAAAAGACCCCACCTGAAACAAATTATCTGAAACTTGATAACGTGAGAGGTCAGTCATTTGACAAAGTAATCAACATGTGTCTAATATATTGAGGATTGCAAACAAAACTCAAAGGCAGAAACTATCTTGTTTTGTTCCTTCCGTGTTCAGTTCACTCGCTGAATTTAGATGATTCAGAGCAATAAAAAATGCTGTATAACCGCTGAATGTTTTTTACTTTAATTAAATACAGAGTGCTTGAAGCTTTTCTACAGGAAGGAAAAACATCTTGCAAATATCGTTCGATTATGCAAGTATGACATGAAATTGTTGTCAACAAATCGATAGTGTGCACGTGAGGATACTTGTAACAGATTGAATGCACATTGGAGAGCAGTGTTTTCTGCATTAGTGAACAATTGTAAAACATGGCAGAGAGAGTTAGCTGCCAAGCGGGCGATCTTCTTAGAAATGTAAAAGGTACTGTTCATGACATCAGAGTAGGGTTGTATTATTTAAAAAGGCAATGAAAAACGGCAAGCCGTGGATGTGGACATTTCAACTGCTGCTTACAGGTATGACTTTTTTATGTTTGAAACTGAATTTCAGACATTTTCCTCCGTTTAATTTGGGATTCAGAAAGAAAGAGGAGGAAAGGGGGCTGGGGGGGGGGGGGAATACTTGCTCAGATCAAGACTACGGAATCAATTCTTCAGCTGGTGGAAGTTAAAATCGTTGAATTAAACCTAAAATATTGTATGATGAATCATTTGAACTGCACACGGAACCAGAATGTCCAGAAGAAGAAAAATGATCAGATTCTTTTAAAGACACGACGTTCTGGAGAATTGATGTCTACAAACTCGTCAGTAACAGATACAGAAGAGAGTTGATGTCTACAGACTGTTCAGAGTAAGATACAGAAGAGAGTTGATGTCTACAAACTGTTCAGAGTAAGATACAGAAGAGAGCTGATGTCTACAAACACTTCAGAGTTGGATACAGAAGAGATTTAATGTCTACAAACTGTTCAGAGTAAGATACAGAAGAGAGTTGATGTCTACAAACTGTTCAGAGTAAGATACAGAAGAGAGCTGATGTCTACAAACTGTTCAGAGTAGGATACAGATGAGAGTTGATGTCTACAGACACTTCAGAGTAGGATACAGAAGAGAGTTGATGTCTACAGACATTTCAGAGTAAGATACAGAAGAGAGTTGATGTCTACAGACATTTCAGAGTAAGATACAGAAGAGAGTTGATGTCTACAGACACTTCAGAGTAGGATACAGATGAGAGTTGATTTTTACAAACACTTCAGAGTAGGATACAGATGAGAGTTGATGTCTACAAACACTTCAGTGTAGGATACAGAAGAGAGTTGATGTCTACAGACACTTCAGAGTAGGATACAGAAGAGAGTTGATTTTTACAAACACTTCAGAGTAGGATACAGAAGAGGGCTAATGTCTACAAACGCTTCAGAGTAAGATAAGGTTCATTTTTGAAATGACGAGACGATGGTCTGTCCAGCATTTAGTGCCGCACATAGCCTTAGTGACCCGTATGTCCTGTCTGTCGCACTTTTTCACTAAGACATAATCAAATGCCACTGTTTAGAACCAGGGTGCATTCAGGAGGTTCTGTTACGGGTAGGGAGGCAAAATAAAGTGTTTGTAATAATCAGTTCATGTGTAATAATGAGTTCATGTGTAATAATGAGTTAATGTGTAATAATGAGTTCATGTATAATAATGAGCTCATGTTCTGCACAGGTCTGGAGCAGTAGTAGCCCATTGCTATTACAGTTGCCAGCTCCATGTCTTCCA